CTGGCCACAAAACCAGAGTCATACATGACTCTTCCGTCTCACCTTCAGTGCAGCCCATCAGTAAGTCGAGAAATGGAACGTTGCCCACACCCGAAACCCCCTTCAGGGGACCCTTTTGCTCACACACTTTTCCCTCTCCTCAGAGGAAACCTGGTTTTCCTTGTTTTTCTTAATAGATTTTCCAAAGAGTGTGTATCTCATAACTTTATACTTAAAGGTTGCCTGGTTTTTAACTTTATATAAATGAAATCATTCTATTTGGATTTCTCAATATGTTCTTTCATTCATCATTATTTTTGTGAGGTTTATCATGTTTAGAATGTAGCTCTAATCCATTTCCTTCCTTTCATTATATGTGGTGCCTGAATGTACCACAATTTATTTATTTACTGTTCTCAATCTATGTCTTTAAATACATGAACCAGTCCTTATTTAAGCTCAGTTTTTCATTGATCCTGTATCATGGTTTTGGTTCACAGTGGCCATAAACCCACAGGACATAATTGATTGTTTTATACAGTCAATTTTAATTTAGATTTCCACATATATTTACCAATTTCTTTGTTCACTGTTGCTTCATTTATATATGACCTTCCATATGGAATCATTTTCCTTCTGCTTGAAAGATGCCCAACTTTAATGAGTCTTTGTTGATGACATTTTGTTTTTTTCTTAAAATGCCTCTATTTAGTCCTCATTCTCAAAAATATTATTCCCACTGTCTTCTGGCTTCCATTGTTGCTGTCTTTTGATTTTTGTTCCTTCAAAAGTAATCTGTTTTTTCTCTATAGCTACTTTTAAGATCTTCTTTGGTGTTCTACAGTTTCACTATGATGTATTTCTGTGTAAATTTATTTATCTGGCATGGGATGTCAGTATTCAACAATCTTTAAATTTGTATCTTTCATCAGTTCTAGAAATTCTCAGCCTTTATCTTTTCAAATCTTGGCTCAGTTCTCTTCTTTTCTGGAACCCAGATTAGATATGTTATAGCTTTGTGGGTTTTTTGTTTTCATTTTTTCTGTCTCTATTTGTGGTTAAGTTCCTCAGATCTACCTTCTCTGCACTGATTTTCTCTTCTGCTATTGTTAACCCCATGCATTGTTTTTAATTTAAGACTTAAAGTTTTTCATTTTTAAAAGTTCTATTTGATTCTTATTCAGTTCTTTTTTTTTTTTTTTTTTAACTGTTGTTGAGGTTAATGGGAAATTTTCATAATTATGGCTAATGGAAATTTTTTTTGAGACAGAGTCTAACTCTGTTCCCCAAGGTAGAGTGCAGTGGTGTCATCACAGCTCACCACAACCTCAAACTCCTGGGCTCAAGTGATATTCCTGCCTCAGCCACCACACCTGGCTAGTTTTTTCTATTTTTAGTAGAGACGGAGTCTCCCTCTTGCTCAGGCTAGTCTGGAACTCCTGACCTCAAGGGATCCTCCCACCTCAGCCTCCCAGAATGCTAGGATTACAGGCATGAGCCACCACGCCTTACCGATTTTAAAAATATTTTATTCAGCATTAAAATTGCTGAGCCACAGTGCCAGAAACGGGAGTGTATTTGTGAGTTCCTTGGAGAAAACCAATGGATACCTGATTTGGGAGATCTGGCTCTGTTTCAACTTCTTCCAATCTCCTCAGTTCCTTCCACAGCCTCTTACTGTTATGAATGGCACAATCCCCCAGGGACTAAAGCCCAATTATTTTCTAATGCATCTACTCCCTACACAATCAGCGGACATTCAGGTTGCTCTCCTTACACTCGGCGTTGTTCTTTAACTCCCTTTTCCCTCGCTCTGAGAGGCACTGGGGTAGTTTATAACCCCCTCCCCTTTCTGGATGCTCTCAATGTTTGAGTGCTTCTCTTTCTACATTCATGGGGTGGGCGATGTGGAACACCACATTCCCCACCAGGTGGAGGGCTTGCTGTCCTGAGGAATTCTTCCTTTTTATTCCTATCCTACTCTCTTTATATAGCCCAGGAAAGAGGGCTGATGTTGATGCCATGGTTAATAGTAGTAGGGCAAATTCAGCACCCGGCCCCCCTTTGTAAGCTCTGAGGGTGTCTAGCCACAAATATTTTTGTCTCTCTGTAGAATATAGAAGAACTTAATCCTCAACTCTGAGTCCTGGGACAGCAGGAAAAGTTCCTTTTATCCCCTCTATAAGAAGCCACCCCACTGCTGTTGCCAAGCCAATGGCTCCCATCAAACTCAAAGTAAAATCTACAGTCCTTATCACAACCTCCAAAACTGTCACGGAAAGCTCGGCCACTTGTCCACGAGGCGAATCAGAAGAACGAGGACAAGCAGTTTGGGGAGGAAGGAAAGAGACATTTTTATTCCTTTGCCGGCAAAGGGAGGAAAAATGGAGACTATCGTCTCAAAATCCAAATATTTCCTGAACATAGGCAGAAATACAGACCTTTTAAAGGGAGGGTTCTCAGTTCAAGCAATTACTGTTGTTAACTATTGTAATCATCCCATCTCTGCCAAAGACAAAGCCTGTGAACTCTGCCAGCCCACCTGGGATTTTTAACAAGACTTAACCTGCCTCAGGGATGGAGGCCAGGCTGCAGGTCCCAAGAAGAGTGGGGGAAGTTTTAAAGAGACAGAAAATCGGCTGGGCATGGTGGCTCACGCCTGTAATCCTAGCACTCTGGGAGGCCTCCGAGGTGGCAGTATCACTTGAGCTCAGAAGTTTGAGACCGGCCTGGGCAAGAGTGAAACCTCGTCTGTACTAAAAATAGAAAATAATTAGCCGGGCGTGGTGACGTACACCTGTAGTCGCAGCTACTTGGGAGGCTGAGGCAGGGATCCCTTGAGCCCAGGAGTTTGAGGTTGCTGTCAGCTACGCTGACGCCACTGCACTCTAGCTTGGGCAACAGAGTGAGACTCTCTGTCTCAAAAAAGAAGAAAAAAAAAAGCAACAGAAAATCCTTTTTTTCCCCCCAGGCCATTCCCTGTTACATACTCCCCACTCTTAACTTTATGCTTCCACATCTATGGGAGGAGGGGCGACTACTCTGTTACAAGACCTTGCTCTATCAAGCCCCAGCCTACCTGTCCTACCTCTACTCACTGTCTAGTCCCTCACTCTGTGGCAGCTGCATCAGGCATCTGTTCCTAAAACACATCAACCTTGTTCCCACCTGTGGGCTTTTGGTGCAAAAGCTCATTTCCTTCAGCCTGTTATTCTTTCCTCCCTTGTGTTCCTGCAGTTGCCTTCTTCAGTTGCAGGTACTACGTCTCTGCCTCAGAGATGCCTCCCCAGACCACTCTAATTCATATTTCTAAATTAGCCCTCTGCTAATTCCAGAGCATTATATTCTGGCAGCAGTAAAAGAAAGCATTAATTTTTTCATCATTCATCCTTTTGATATAGCAATGTTACATTAGGACATTTAGTTGCAGTCATTTTCTACCATGTGAGTATGTGCTATTCTAATGTTAAAAAATCCAGTCTGCCAGCCTGAGCAAGAGTGAGACCCCGTCTCTACCAAAAACAGAAAGAAATTAATCGGACAGCTAAAAATATATAGAAAAAATTAGCCGGGCATGGTGGCACATGCCTGTAGTCCCAGCTACTTGGGAGGCTGAGGCAGTAGGATTGCTTGAGCCCAGGAGTTTGAGGTTGCTGTGAGCTAGGCTGACGTCACGGCACTCTAGCCCGGGCAACAGAGTGAGACTCTGTCTCAAAAAAAATAATAATAATAATAATTTAAAAAATCAAAAATAAAAAAAAAGAAATCCAGTCTAAGTCTAGGAAATTTAGATTATTTGTGATATATAAGATATCATGATGTAACAGAGAGAGTGGCCTGAAAAAAGGTTAAAAATATTTTGTGTCTCTTTAAAACCTCCCCCACTCCTTGTGGAGAACTAAAATGTGCATCCCCGCCTCAGGCCAGTGGTCAGGAGGGGCAGGGGGGTGTCCTTTGTTCTTTGTTCCACCAGAGATGGCTCAGTGGAACTGCTGGGGGGGAGGTGGCTGGGGGCAGGCGGAGGTCTGGGTGGAGGTCACAAGATTGTCTTCACTGGAGATGGGACGCACTGGAATCACCAACTATAATTCAACAATAGCCTGAAACTGAAAGCTCTCCCTTTAAAAGTTCTATATTTCTTCATCCCTGCAAAGTCTGAGCCAAAAAACAGAAATTAAACAATTAAATAAAAGTTCTATATTTCTGCTTATGATTAGGAATTGGTACTTTAAAACGGGAGTCTGCCATTTTCCTCATTTGCCAGCAAATTAATAAATCTCTCTTTCCTTTTCCTCAACCACTTGTTCTTGTTCTTCTTATGTGGCCTTGCAGACAAGTGCTGAGCTTCGGTAACAATTATATAAACCCAATAGCTGTATCTAAAAGTTCACCTATCTTTGTGTTGAAATTTTCCATCACTTATGGCTTAGTCCCAAGCACAAAATCCTAAGCAATGGGATACCAAGTAATGAAATAACGTGGTTCGCTCTTGCACAGTTCGCTCTTGCACACTGTTCTCGAAGCCACGAATTTATCCTAAGTTTTTTTCTCTCCTGTAGTATCATTAAATATTTCTTGGTAGGTGTAGCCTGGAGAGTCACAATGTGTCCAAGCCTTTGGTAATGACCCATAGGTGACGATGGCATATAAGAGGAGATGGAAATTGTCTCTTGATGAAGATGCAACGTTCCCCACTCCCTTCCTGTCTCATTCCTACAGCTGAATCAGGACCTGAAATTATCTTGTTGATACGTTTACGTTCGCATTGCCTGCCTTGGCCACAAGGAGCTTACACAGGCTCTGAAAGTGGGGTCTTTCCTGCCCGACACACCCATGTATCCCTCCCTTAGCAGCATGGCCCTGTCGCAGAGGAGGCGCTCAGTGACTACGTGTGGACCACCCGCGCACGCGAATGCTCGAGCCTCACTGCAGGCCTCGCTGCGCCCGCACAGCGGACCCTCACCGCTGCGCCCAGAGGGTGCGCGGCGCCCTCCGAGGCCGCCTGTGCGGGACGTGCGAGGGGCCCTCTGGGAAGTGTAGTTCGCGCACACGCCGCGGGCCCGGCGTTGCGGGGAGCGAGCCTCCGCGCGCGCAGGCGCACTTCCGGCTCTGCTCAGCCTCTGCGGCCATTGTCCGGCCCCTGTGCAGCTGAGACCGCTTTGGGCAGCCCAAAAGCAGATCAGAGTCGGAGAGAACCAAGCCTGCAGCGGGGGCGGGAGGAGCCGGGGTGGGCCGGAGGTCAAGAAATCCGGACCCCGCCCCGCCCCCGAAAGCGGTGATTCAGAGAGCGCGGATCCGGGCGGCACCTCTGACGGGTTTGGCGGGTGTCTGCCGGGCCTCGCCCATCATCCTGCGGGTGGGACTGGGCGTGGCCAGAGGTGGGTGCCCCGGAGCGGCGGAGCCTTTAATTTGAGGGGAAGGAGAGCGACAGGCCTGGGCGGGGTCCGCGGTGCTTTCACGGGTCCCCGCTGGAGTAGTGGTTGAGGGGCGGAGGCGGGGCCGGTGGTTGCAGCCCGGTGAGTGGGCCCTGTCCTCTCTTCGCAGCCCCTGTCCGGGAGCCGGGCCTTGGCGAGGCAAGAATGGCCCCGAGACCGCCGACGGCTGCGCCTCAGGTGAGCAGCGCGTTTGTAACCTCCTGGGCATCCCATCCCCCCGGGCGTGTTTGGAGTGGTCCCTGTTTTACGCTGGGCGACTCCCGTTCGTGGCTCTGTCGTTTTGGAGCCTCCTAACCTTGCGAAACCCCAAGGTGTCCAGAGCCGGGGGAGCGAGATTCCCAAAGGGAGCTGCGCTGAGGGGTAGAGAGGACCAGGGCGGTGCGATCTTGTGGAAGGAATTAAGGTTGGATGCGTTGCGAAGTGTCAGTGTTGAGAGTTCTTTGAATGCTTGTCAATAAGGAATGGAGAGGGTGGGGTGACAGGATGGAAAACTGTAGAGGAGGAGGAGGTGACCGACTGTGAGTGAGGAAAGAGGAGTCCCAGCTTCTGGCCCGGGCCCATAGAGAGGCAGTAAAAGGATGAAGAAGCCTGGTCAGAACATGTCAAGGAAGAGGCTGGAGATGGATTTTCTTGGGCTAGGAGGCAAAAAAACAAAACCAGGGCTGACTTGCCCCAAGCTTTTCATGTCGTTTTCTGCCTTAACAAAGGTATAATAGTGCACACCACTCCCAGAAGTCCAGCCTTCACTTTAATTAATAATGAAGTTGATTTGTGAATCCATTAATTCTTGTGGCAGAGGGGCCACTTTCTAGAAGCATCACAACTGTGAGGTTATCCATTGATTTGCAGAGTATATTGGTGAAAATAAGATTCAGGTGGTCTCTGGATCTTTCAATCCACACTCTTTAGAATTAAGGAAAAGTGACAGATTGTGGTTGCTAGGTGTGTGAGACGATCAAGATCAATCCAGATAAAAACACCAACTAGTAATGTCCTCTAAAAGCAGTTTACAGTAAATTAAGCACACAATATTATAATGCTTTTATGTTCTTTTTTTTTTTTTTTTTACTTCTTATGTTTCTGTTTTACCCAAATGAGCCTTAAAAAGTAAGACAAGTAATAATACTAGAACAAGACAGTTATTTGGTTTGAGGAGAGCCAGAGCAAATCATGATCATTATCACCTTTACATACAAAATGTTTCCTCGATAGGCTGTTAGAGTTAGGATGACTTAACACCTCCTCAGGGTCTATGGTACTTTCCAAAGGAGGGGTTGCCTTTTTAATGGTGACAGTGGATACATGTTCTGAGCAGTGAATTTTAAGGAATGCTTTAAACTTCACTTTTAAAGCTGTGTTCCCCCAGCACTCTGGTTCAGTTATATTCCCATGGAATGGCCTAATGGTCCACTTGGGTCATCTAACTCAGGCTGTGGATGATGACCAGGGATGAAGGACAGAACAGAACACTGGCCCTACATTGGGGCTTTTTAGGCAGAAATGTCCCTTTGTCAGTGGTTCCCCTTCTCTGAAGTTGGCCCTCGGGGAATACAAAGATGAGTAATGGGTCATGTGACTGCTTCTCTGGAAAGTTAATTGGGTGGAAGCAGACAGTCTCATACAGAAGTATGCCACAAGATAGGTGCTTTAAAGTGTAGTTGCAGAGGTGCAGAGGCCGCTGCGAGTTCAGAGAGGGGCAGGAAATTTGCCTGTGGGAAAGAGTCAATAGAGATGGTACCTTTGAGTAGGAGCACAGTCTAAGCAGGTGATAAAGAAGGGGAAGGGGGACAGAGCTGATTGACTTTGGGGGTCAGGGGAGTTGGAAGGCAAGAAGATGAGGGGGCATATTCATTACACCATTGTCCTGTGTGGCAGCAGCTGTGGGCTGCAGGCAATGGATAGATGAGAGTGGAAGTTTAGGCTTTGTTCTTCTTGACCTTGTAACTCATTCGTCATCATTCATTCATCTGTTCATTCAGCAGGTAGTCATTGAGCCCTGCGATGTGTTGGGTGCTTTCCTAGGCCGTTGGGATACTTTAGTGAACAGAATTTATAAAGGACTCTGCTCTCAAGGAGCTTACATTCTGGAAAGGGGAGACAGAAGAATTCAGTAAATAAGTAAATTATATGGTATACTAGAAGGCAATAGTACCTCAAGAGGGAAAAAAGGTAGAGAAAGGTAAGGGGGATTGGGGAGGCAGGGGTGCAATTTTAAATAGTGTGGTCAGGGCCGGGCACGGTGGCTCACGCCTGTAATCCTAGCACTCTGGGAGGCTGAGGCGGGTGGATCATTTGAGCTCAGGAGTTCGAGACCAGCTTGAGCAAGAGCGAGACCCCCGTCTCTACTAAAAAAATAGAAAGAAATTAGCTGGACAACTAAAAATATATAGAAAAAATTAGCCGGGCATGGTGGTGCATGCCTGTAGTCCCAGCTGCTTGGGAGGCTGAGGCAGGAGGATCGCTTGAGCCCAGGAGTTTGAGGTTGCTGTGAGCTAGGATGACGCCACGGCAGTCTAGCCCAGGCAACGGAGTGAGACTCTGTCTCAAAAAAAAATAAAATGTTACCACTGTAAATAATACTGGATCAAATCAGATTTCTTTTTTTTCCTATCTTTTGAAAGAATTTACCTATAAAACATTTAGACTCGGGATGTTTTATAGAGAGGATGATTTGGGAATAATTTTCTCTATTTCTTCCTCAATTATTAAGATTTCTACTTTTTTGTGTCAACACTGATAATATAGAATTTAAAAAATTATCCGCTTCATTAAGATTTTTCACATTTCTTAACACACTATTGTGTATTTTACTGTTTTGTTTATCCCCTTATCTTTAAGATCATTTTTTAAAATTTCTTTTTACTAGATTTATCAGAAATTTGTCTATTTGGCTGGTACCCAAGAGGAACCAGCCTTTAGATTTGGCTGTTAATGCCATCGCTTATGAGTTTGCCCTTGCTTTTTTTTTTGAGACAGAGTCTAGCTCTGTTGCCTGGGCTAGAGTGCTATGGTATCAGCCTAGCTGACAGCAACCTCAAATGCCTGGGCTCAAGCGATCCTCCTGCCTCAGCCTCCCCAGGAGCTGGGAGTACAGGCGCTTGCCACCATGCCCGGCTAATTTTCTCTATTTTTAGTAGAGACGGGGTCTCACTTTTGCTCAGGCGGGTCTCAAACTCCTGACCTCAAGGGATCCTCCCATCTTGGCCTCCCAGAGTCCGAGCATTACAGGCATGAGCCACCGTGCCTGGCCTGCCCTTGCTTTTTCTAATCAAAGAATTTAATTCACTAACCCATAATTTTTTTAGCCTCAAAACGATTGCTTGTCTTCCTTCAGTGAGAATTACCCAGACTCTATTCATTCACTCAGCAGATGTTTTGGGAGTGCTTGCTCTGTGCCAGGCAGGGGTTCTTAACCAGGGTCATGCTTCGGAACGAGGAGGAAGTGGTACCTGCATCCTGTGGGGTGGTGATAAGGCTTCCATGAGGAAATGTAGTGAGAGGGGGCACAGAAATGACCGAGCTCGGTGTCTGGCTTGCAGTGAGTGTTCAGTAAATCTTAGTTGTTGCTCTTTTATAATGAACCACCTGAGGAGCTTTTAAAAGACGCTTGGCAGGGCCCTCCATGTACGGGCAATTTACAAAGGTCTTCCAGGTGATTCTGGACAATCTCAACACACTTGGTGTTGGAGATACTGAAATGAAAAGGAATTTTAGAAATTCTTGAGGAAGAAAAATGTGAGTGGATGGCTACAGTTCTGAGCTGGAGATGTGGACCAGATGCTAAAGGGGGATGGGGAGGATCTGGAAAAGCTTCAGCAGGGAAGGGACCACTGAACTGGTTCTAGAGAGATGGCTAGGAATTTTTCCTGCAGAGCTGAGGGAAGAAAGTACATTATGGTCAGAAGAGGATGTATAAAAGCAAGGAGACACAAGAGAATGATGTCATCAGGGCAGAGTCCACGGGGCAGAAGCATGGGTGTATGGCAGGAGGCAAAGTTTGAGAGAAAGATAATGGTCTGAGGTGGAGATCTAGAACAATCTAGAGCAATGCTGTCCAAAAGAAATACAAGCCACAAGTATTTTTAAATTTTCATATAGCCACAATGTGAAAAGAAACAGGTGAAATTAATTTTAGTGATATATAATATTATTTAACCCAACATATCCAGAATATTACCATTTCTACATATAATCAATATTTTTAAATTACTAATGAGATATTTTTACATTCTTTTTTGGTACTAGGTCTGGTGTGTATTTTATACTTACCACACATGTCAATTTGGACTAGTCTCATTGCAAGTTTGTTTGTTTTTTCCCCCCAATGTTTAAAACCAGTTTGTGATTGAGGAACATCTAAATCCTTAGTTTAAAAACACAAGTGAATGGTTACATGTGGCTAGTGGCTGCCATATTAGACTGCATAGATCTAGACTGCTGGTACCTGGCTTACTGCTGTCTTTGGCAAGGGAAGATTGGAACTGGTTTGAAGGATGAAGGGGCGGGCCTGAATTCAGGAGACATTTCTGAGGCTTTTGGTGACTGCAGGGCATAAAGGAAAAATGAAGAGTCACGGATACGGTCCAGGTTTCCGGCTTGGGATACTGTGAATGGTGATGGAGTTAGGGCAGCTGTGTGTGTATGCAAAGGTTGACAGTAATCCGCTTCTTTCTGTACTCAGTTGTTAGGTACACTGTCAGCTCTCAGCTTAGCAAACTACTATTGGTTTGATCTCAGAGGACACTGAGTACTTAAGTGAAAACACGTACTGTAAATTCAGTGTTTCTAATTGGGCAAACTATTTTGGATCTTAGAGGGGACAGTTTTTATAAATTAGATATTTTTTACTCACCAGCTGCCATTCTCTTTTTTTCTACTTTGCAGAGTTTCAAAGTTACAAACTCGAGTTAAAATTGCAGCCAATTTCTCGTGTGGAATTGGTATGTGATGGAGTGGAGGGAAAGTGTCCCTTTGTAGTTGCACATGTACTCCTTTTCTGGAAGTGCCCTGTCACCTGGTCTGCTATGAAGCTCTTATTTCTCCAGTTCAGAGAATCCATGTTATTGATGAGGTAATTGGATCTCCAGGAGATGCAAGATTGGCTCAAAGATATTATTTACTAGTTGTGGAGATTTTTAGGAATTGAGTTTTCTCAATTTAGGACATGCCATTTCTAGTTCCTTGCTTTCAGCTCCATCATTTGGCCTTTTTTATGACAGCCTGAGGAAAGGGAAGATCTGATACTTCTTGATAACTTTGCTAGTTTTTAAATGGGGTTGATGACGTCCCGTTATATCTGGAGGAAGGGTAAGCAGCTGTCTAAAAGGTGTTACAGGATCATTTATTATAGTCCAAGGCATGACCTGCAGTGTTGGGAATGCCCTCAAGTTGATGTAGCTCAGAGTGGCTAACTCATACCAAAGATCTGGTATGTCTCACCTATGCAATCTTGCATACTTTTGGTTGTCTTTTATGTACCACATTGGTTTTGGAGGTTTGAAGGTGCCTGAGCTAAGGTCTTGACCCTGTAGGAACATAGTTTGGTAGGAGTGACCAAGGGGTAACGGGCAGAAAAATGTCATAGTATTTTATGAGCTGCGCTGGAGAGAGGCCCAGGGAGGGGAGCTGCTGGGATGTGAACCTGGGGGCAGGAGTAGAGCCCCAGAGGAGAGAACTTGACTGAGTCTTGGTGAAGAGTGAACCTGAGCCAGGCACGGGGGAAAGGCTGAGCACAGAGGTGAAAGAGAGTGTTTTTGTTTCCAGGAGCTGAAACTCTTCTGCACAGCCAAATTTTGGTGTATGAGGGGAGGAGAAGCCAGAGCTGAGGCTATGGAGGTACAGGGGGACTAGGTCACGAAGGGCTCTGAAGCTTACCACTAAGGAATCTAATTTTTAATCTCAAGACAAATATTTATAGGGCACCCACTACATGTTAGACCTGTTCTAGGCAATGGAGATTCAGCAATAAAGAAAATAAATAGTCTTCCCGCTCTCCTGGAGTTTGTATTCTGCTGTGGAATATAGACTGTAAACAAATAAAACTACGATATGTCAGGTGGTAAGGGCTATGGAAAAGGAAAAAAATAAAACAGTGACAGTGCAGGACGGGGTTGCTATTTTATATAGGGTGGTGGGGGAAGGTAGCTATGATGAGGCGACATTTGAACAAAGGGCTGAAGCAGGTGCATGGGGGGCCATAGTCATAGGTGCAGGAAGAGGCTCCCAGCCGGAATAGAGGCTCCAAGGCAGAAGCGTGCTTAATGTCTTCCAGGAATCGTGAGGAGTTCAGGGAGAGCCGTGGGCAGGGCAGGAGGCTTGAGATAAAACCAGCCCAGGCACCTGATCGTGAAGGGCGGTGTAGGCCACTGTAAAGACTTTATTGGTATGGATTGGGGTGCCGTTGGAGGCTGTGGAACAGAGTGACTTGATCTAGCAGGTTTTAACAAGTTCACTCTGGTTTTCATATGGGAAATGAACTTGGGCGAGGGCAGGAGTGGAAAAGGAGAGATGAGCTAGGAGGTTGTAGCAGTAGTCACGACGAAGATGATGGCACAGACTAGAGTGAGGGAAAAGTGGGAAGAAACGAAGGGTTTGTAAGCATGATCAAATTTGTGTTGTAGAGAGGTGACTATGATAGTGCCCAGGAAAAAAAGAGTTGGTGGGATCCAAGAGTTCTTCGAAGAACAGAGGCCAGTGGTTGCCCTGTCAAGAGAAATGGTGAATCACTTGCAACAGACACTTGTTTGCTAGTTAGCACATTCTTTACTATTCGTGCAGACTTTTGGGGAGAGCAGAATAAAACCAGGAGACCATGTGTGAAATATGGGGAGCCAGTCAAGCAAAGGACTTCAGGTTGGCCAAAGACTATGACTAAATCAAAGAGATGGGGTGTGTAGAAGGCAGAACAGGCAACAGGGAGAAGGCTTTACTTCTTGCCGCCTAACTTAAAGTGGCTGGTCCAACTCCCTTTCCCTTGCTGGTCATGCCTCGCCCAAGACCTGCCTCCCTCCTCAAGCTTCTCAGTCCCTGGATTGGATTCCCATGTGTTTTTCTGCTGTCCAAGTGGCACTTACCCCTTAGGAGCCAGTGCAGATCCTGCCTTGAAGTCTCTGCTCCCTCACCCAGTCTTTCCTGCTTTGAGTCCTGCAGCGCCTCGCCTTACTGTGCATTGTCTCATAGTGTGTGCTAATAGATAACACTTTTTAAAATAAACTGAAACTTATTCAAGGACTGCAGTGTTTTTCTTTTGCATTTTTAGTCTGCCGCAGTATACATAGTAAAGCCAGGCATCTGGTAAAGATCTAATCAGTCAGATCCCTGACCTTGGTCAGAAAAATGGCCCTTTTCAACCCTGCTCTGCTGCTGCAGGGACATGGCCACAGTGCTGAGCAGGAACATGGTACAGGGGAGGCAGTGTTATGTATGGATGTGGTCATGTACCTCACTCCCTAGAATGGGCCATTCCTGTCTTCTCTAAAGTTCAAATCTTACCCATCTCCTTAATGCTCAACTCAGGAAACAGATGTTTAGTGCGATCAAGAAAGATAAAGTCTCTGTTCTCATGGGGCTTATAGAGGGAGATAAACAGTAAGCTAACAAGCTAATCTCAGATAATTGTTAAAAGTACAAGTGGCCTTTTTATCTGAATCTGTTTTGTTCCTGAGTTCAGGTGGCAAGAATTTGGGCAGTGAAAGATACGTGGGCTAGGAGGAAAATTAAACACAGTAATGTGATGGAGAGTAAATTAGAAGGAGGTGCTAAGACATTTCCAAGGGGGCCATGCTTGAGATGACACCAAAGTAACTAGTAGCTAGTTGTCAACCATGAAGAGATCTAGAGGGTAGAGCAAGCAAAAGGGCCAGGGTGGGAACAGGCTTGATGTAGTCAAGCAACACCAAGACCAGCATGTTCCAGCCCAGTGAGCGATGGGGGAATTTGAGTTTTATTGTTAATACGGTGGGGTTCTGTTAGTTTTAGGCAGTGGGTACCTTATGATACAGGAGTACTATGAAACAGTTCAAAGCAATAAGATGAAATTATATATATCACTATGGAAAGATCTCCAAGATATATAGGTAAATGTAAAAAGTAAATTGTAGAACGATATGTATGGTATTTCATAAAACAGGATTCTCTGTTGGAGATATGGGTGTGGTTCTGGATGTGTGTGTGTGCATGTTAAACATGGACAAGGGCCTCTAAGTGTATACAGCAAACTGAGAGATTATTTCTGGGGAGTAAAGTGGGATTGGTTATGGGGATGAAGAAGAGGGCCATCACTTTTTACTACCCACTGTATTTGGATTTTGTAACAAAGGAAATGAATGGGCAGCAAGGTATTGGTGATTGTATGAAAACACTGGACTTTGAAGGAATCTGAGAAGATAGCTAAGTGGGAATATAGCTTTGCAGGACAAACTACCCCTCATGACTTACCTGCATGACATACTACTAGATCCTTTAAAAACTGATGTTAACAACTAGTATATATAACCCATCATTACACCCTCAGGCCGACAAATGTGTGGTCACTGCTTCTGTTAGATCCTATAGTATGTTCCCAGTATTGCCATGGGAACATTTGTAGGGTTGATCCCTAGTTGAGCAGGAATGTGATCCTACAGGAATCAGTGACATTCAAAGATGTGTCTGTGGACTTCACCCAGGAAGAATGGCACCACATCGACCCTGCTCAGAGGAGATTATACAGGGATGTGATGCTGGAGAACTACAGCCACCTGGTTTCTGTTGGTAAGGACCACTTCTCTGAGTGTCTTGCCTATTGGTGGGTCTTTCCTTCCTTGGTTGCTAAGGTTGTGGTGCTCATAGCTTAGGTAACCGTGAGCAGGGTGTTCAGGGGTCAGAGTTTGTTAATCTCATTGGGACCCAGCTTTACGGGGTTTTGAGCCTGCTCTTTAGGTAAAAGGTCCTTATTTTGCAGAACTGGAAATAGGCAGTTTGATTGCATGACTCCTTAAGTTGCACCTTTTTTTTCCTTCAGAGTTCCTGAGGATCAAGGACTAGTACTGACTTGTCCTTAGGAGGGTTCTTTGTCCACTTGCACAAACAACCAAATCTTGTGTATTTACCCATGAGCAGGATATCAAGTTTCCAAGCCAGAGGTGATCTTCAAATTGGAGCAAGGAGAAGAGCCATGGATATCAGAGGGAGAAATCCAAAGACCTTTCTGTCCAGGTAAATGAGAATGAGTGAGACTCAGGCATGTAGAAGTGAATGCAGATACTGGCACAGCTTAGAAAGGGGAAGCTCCCTTCAGCAGCTGGGTTGGGAGCCCCTAGACCTGCACAGAAAGCTGAAGCCATCTGGGTGACACCTCATTATGTCTCTCTTTTTCAAAAGAGTGTTAGTAGGTCTTAGAGGCAAAGGGGACCCCTTTTTTCTTTCTAAAAGTAGCTTTTGCCCTACACTCAGAATACCATTTTTGCCTATCCTGTAACCCTACTTATTGGATTATTTTCTCCTGGTGGCCTTCAACTTCCTTCATTAATTAGAGATCCCTTTTGTATTCATTCAGACACGAATTGAAACCCCTAGTCTCTTGTTTGTCTTGTTCCTTCCACTGTCAGATGCTCCAGACTTACAGGAAACACCCACAGCCTTGATTCTCCCTTCTTTATAACTTGTCTTCAGATGCCCTTCCCTGACCACATGCCTAAAACATCTGCATGGGGAGCAACAGCATCTTCCCTCCATCCCACATTTGTGCTAATTGACTCATTGCTCCTCTGTGGTTCCTGGAGTATCATCCTCTCCCAGTGTCCTGGCTTGCTAAGTGCTGCTTGGCTTTAGGTCTTTGGCTTTTCTTGCTTTTCCCCCTGAGTGGATCTGCCTTAAGGAATCTGCCCTCCAGCCTCCTAGACCTTCTCTAATACCTCCCTAAAAGGGTCCTGCCTTACGGTCATTGCAGCTCCTTATTCTATGCAGTGGACTCAAAAATCTCCCTTACTTGTACCCTAGTCACTTCTTTTTCTCTCACAGGACATCTCCACTTGAAATTTCACACAGTTCATATTGAATACGTAAAGTCTAAATTCATCATCTTTTTTCCCCAACCAGCACATTTTACTGCCTTGCCCGTTTTCCATTTCTACCCTTGTCTGTTAGAATCCACTGGATTTCTAATCAGTCCCTCAAGCCAGACATCATAATCAGTTTAGTCCTTTTTCTTTCCACCTGGGTTATTTTCTTCCTTTGAGAAGTAGCTTAGATTTTTCTTGCCTTTTACCTTCTACTGATAACATCCTAAACCAGGCCCTGGGTTTAGATTACTATCATTATCAGTTGGAGTTTCTCACTTAGTCTTTTCTTTTTATAATCCATATTGGATTTTTAGAATTACAGCTATATCAAGATATAATTCACATACCATAAGATTCACCCCTTTAAAGTGTACAGGTCAGTGTTTTTTCATATGTTCAGAGAGTTGTACAAACATTACCACTATCTAATTTCAGAACATTTACATCACCCCAAAAAGAAACTTCATATCCATTAATAGTTTAGTCCCCATTCCTCACTCCTTTCAGCCCCTGACAACCACTGATCTACTTTCTATCTCTGTGGATTTGGCCATTCTGCACAGTTTGTATAAACGGAATCATATAATGTATGACTGGCTTCTGGCACTTTGCCTAATGTTGTTTTTTTTTTGAGACAGAGTCTCACTGTGTTGCCCGGGCTAGAGTGCCGTGGTGTCATCCTAGCTCACAGCAACCTCAAACTCCTGGGCTCAAGCGATCCTCCTGCCTCAGCCTCCCGAGTAGCTGGGACTACAGGCATATGCCACCATGCCCGGCTAATTTTTTCTGTATATTTTTAGTTGTCCAATTAATTTCTTTCTATTTTTAGTAGAGACGGGGTCTCGCTCTTGCTCAGGCTGGTTTCGAACTCCTGAGCTCAAACAATCCGCCCGCCTCGGCCTCCCAGAGAGCTAGGATTACAGGCGTGAGCCACCACACCCGGCCTGCCTAATGTTTTTAAGATTCATTCATTTGTAGCATGTATCAGTACTTCATTCCTTTTTATTCAGTTGCATGGTTATACCACATCTCGTTTAACCATTCATCAGTTGATGGACCATACTGTATTTTAATGCTTTATCTTCATAAAACCTCTGACAAAACCTTATTATTACTCCCTGTACCTCATTATAGGAAATAGAAACGTCCTTGATTTAAAGGTCCCTTGCCATACTTTGCAGTATTATCTTTCTTTTTCTGCTAAAACAAGCTCCCCTTAGGTTGAACTTCTGTTAATATTCTCTGTAAGTAGCATATACTTCCCCTTCATTAGGTAATATGTTTTGCCTATCCAAAGCTATCTGTTCTTGGAATTCAAGGTCTATATAATCCTTGAAATAATGTATAATAATATATTTATATCTTTCTTCCCTGATTACAAATACCATTTATATCATCTCCACTATACAAACTCAGATTTAATAATATGCCATCTGATGGTTTTGCTTTTTTTTTTAATTGCCAAGAGATTGAGTCTTGCTTCTATTCTTAGATTTCAGGCTCCTGGAGGACGAATCTATTTATTACAGTATTTCTATACATCGTATCTGTGTTGCAGAGCATATAGAAAACAGTCAGAAATTACTTGATTGATTATTATGAAATCTGGCTGGGGAAATAACTTCCTCATTAATTATTTCTACAAGCATTTCTCAAATATCTGACTGAGGGTTCTTAAAAAAATATATAAATCATTCTCTGCCCTCAGGGGTTTAGAGTTGATTCTTGTTGCAGAGTAAGGAATTTTGGGGTTTAGGTCCCCTTCGTTGTTTTTTTTCCCTTCCCAACATTTTATCATGAAAATTTTCAAATATATAGAAAAGTTGAAAAAATTATACAGCTAACAGCACATACCTACCACCAAGATTATTACATTTGTTTCATTAACGTTTTGTTATATTTGTGTTATCAGATATCTCTTCATCTATCCATTTATCAATTCATCTTTTTGATGTATTTCCAAGTAAGTTGCAGACATGAGGACATTTTATCTCTACACACTTGAGCATGCATATCATTAACTAGAGTTCAATATTTGTTTACAGTTGTATGTTTTAAGGAAATGTTACATACAGTGAAATGTACAGCCCTTACATGTGCCATCTAGTTGGTTTCAACAAATTCATGGATGCATCGAACCCAAATTCCTGTCAATATGGAACATTTTCATCATTCCAGAAAGCTCCCTGCTCTTAGTTTTTCTTGGGATTTTTTTTTTTTTTTTTTTTTGTTTTTTTTTTTTTTTTTTTTTTGAGACAGTGTCTCACCCTGTTGCTCAGGCTAGAGTGCTGTGGCGTCACCCTAGCTCACAGCAGCCTCAAACTCCTGGGTTCAGGTGATCCTCCTGCCTCTGCCTCCTTAGTAGTTGGGACTACAGGCATGCACCACCGTGCCCAGCTAATTTTTTCTATTTTTAGTTGCCCAGCTAATTTTTTTTCTATTTTTAGTAGAGACAGGATCTTGCTCTTGTTCAAGCTGGTCTCAAACTCCTGAGCTCAAGCAATCCTCTGCCTCAGCCTCCTAGAGTGCTAGGATTACAGGCATGAGCCACCCACACCCAGCTTTCTGCCCTTAGATTTTAAAGTTTCTCATTCTTAGAACCTAGGTATTAATTAATTCTCTACTACTGGTATTCTGAAATAAAAATGGGGATTTAGAGATAGGTTTATTAGGCAGATCGAAATATATCCTCCTTGGTCAAAAGAGGTGATTAGTGTAGAACCAGAGTTCAAATGGACCAAAAGCACCAGTTACAAGGGCAAAGATGATTTACCTCCTGAAATCTACTCTTCCTCAGTTTGTAAAGTATAGTCCTTGATCTCCCAAGTATGTCAAAGAACCATTTTGGTTAGTTCACTGGGTGTAGATTTTCTTTGCAGCGTTTGGAGACCTGGAATCTTAAAGACTGGACCTTAAATAAATTATTAAATGGATGTATTAGGAAAATAGATTTCATGGTGGTTTGTAAAAGGACAGGTGACATGGAGAGCAGATAGTATCCTGCAAGGTAGACTATGATCTGTTCCATTTGTATCCATGCCTAACACACTCATGCTCACATATTCCCTTATTCCCTAACCACCCCTCCTGGATGGGCTTTCCTCATTCTCTGGACTTACCACACATCTGGGTCTACAGCCTTCACTATTACCTCTCTTCACTCTTCCTTTCCTCCATTTTGGGTCTTTTCCCCAGGATACAGGACTAATTTCAAAACAGAGTCATGTATAATTTGTATCTCTTTCATTTCCTAATCCCTCCTGTAGCAGTTTGTTTCAAGAGGAAGGAATAGGGGACTTTTGTACTTTGGATTTCTTTCAGACTGGAAGATCAGGCCTGAAGCCAAATCATCGTATCTGCCGCAGAATGTATCAGAAGTATCCCATAGCACAGATAATCTCTCACATGCCACATTAGAAGACTCCTGGGATGTTGACAGCCAGTTAGAGAGGCACCAGGAAAACTGGAAGAGACATCTGGGGCCAGAGACACCCACCCAGAAGAAAATAATCACACCACAAGAAAGTTTTGAGCAAAATAAATTTGGTGAAAACTCTAGATTGAACACAGACCTTGTTACACAACTGAACATTCCTTTTAGAATAGGACTTAGTGAATGTGAGACACTTGGAAGCAATTTGGGACATAATTCAGACTTACTTAACCAGAGCAATATCCTTGCAAAAAAGAAACCCTTTAAATGTAATAAATGTAGAAAAGCCTTTATTCATAGATCATCACTTACTAAACATGAGAAAACTCACAAAGGAGAGGGAGCTTTCCCCAATGGTACAGATCAGGGAATTTATCCTGGAAAGAAACACCATGAATGTACTGACTGTGGGAAAACCTTCCTCTGGAAGACACAGCTTACTGAGCATCAGAGAATTCACACTGGGGAGAAACCCTTTGAATGTAATGTGTGTGGAAAGGCCTTCAGGCATAGCTCATCCCTTGGTCAACATGAGAACGCTCACACAGGAGAGAAACCCTATCAGTGCAGTCTCTGTGGGAAAGCCTTCCAGCGCAGCTCCTCCCTTGTTCAACACCAGAGAATTCACACCGGAGAGAAGCCCTATCGATGTAACCTATGTGGGAGGTCCTTCAGGCATGGAACATCCCTCACTCAACACGAGGTCACACATAGTGGAGAGAAGCCCTTCCAATGTAAAGAATGTGGGAAAGCCTTCAGTCGATGTTCTTCCCTAGTCCAACATGAGAGGACTCATACTGGCGAGAAACCTTTTGAATGTAGCATATGTGGGAGGGCTTTTGGTCAAAGCCCATCCCTTTATAAACATATGAGGATTCATAAGAGAGGCAAACCTTACCAAAGCAATAACTACAGCATAGATTTCAAGCATAGCTTATCACTTACACAAGATGAAAGCACTCTAACTGAGGTGAAATCCTATCATTGTAATGACTGTGGGGAAGACTTCAGTCACATTACAGACTTTACTGACCATCAGAGGATTCATTCTGGAGAGAACCCCTATGACTGTGAGCAGGCCTTTAGTCAACAACCTATTTCTCATCCTGGGGAGAAACCATATCAATGTAATGTATGTGGAAAAGCTTTCAAAAGGAGTACAAGTTTCATAGAGCATCACAGAATTCATACTGGAGAAAAACCCTATGAATGTAATGAGTGTGGAGAAGCCTTCAGTCGACGCTCATCGCTTACTCAACATGAGAGAACCCACACCGGAGAGAAACCCTATGAATGTATAGACTGTGGAAAAGCCTTCAGTCAAAGTTCATCTCTTATTCAGCATGAGAGAACTCATACCGGAGAGAAACCCTATGAATGTAATGAATGTGGACGAGCCTTCCGAAAGAAAACCAACCTGCATGATCATCAGAGAATTCATACTGGAGAAAAACCCTATTCTTGTAAAGAATGTGGGAAAAACTTTAGCCGAAGCTCAGCTCTTACTAAACACCAGAGGATTCATGCACGAAATAAACTTTAGAAACTCTGAAATTGAAGGTGCAGAACACTTTAGCTAAAATACTGTTCTGATTCAGTATCAGAGGATTCTTACTAGACAGGAAGCTTGAGAATGTCAGTCGTGTGTGTGTTTATGTTGTGTGTGGAGAAAACTCTGTGCCAGTCAACAGAATTTTGTTTAATAAATAAAAGCCACATTCTCAGATCTAATTACAGAATGTTGTAAAACAACTACAAACACCATATGTAGCCAGTTGGAAATGATATGCCTATATATTGAACTTTATAAAGTTTTTGAATATATGCAGGAGATCACCAAGTTTCAACAGCTTGACTTGTAACTCCCACTGTTGACAGCCTTTTAAAAACATAAAACTCCTGCTATAATAACCGACTCTTATTTTAAAATTGTTTGGCAACTGCACTCAATTGCAGCTCTTACATTAACTTCACCATGGAAACTAATTCCACCTCCCGGAATTCACCATTCAAAGAATTAGGTCAACTAGCTCAACCACTTCATTGTACAGATGAAGATACTAAAAACCAAAGATGTGAAGTGGTTTGCACAGTGTGATACAACCTAAATGACAAAGCTGGATTGAGAATTCAGGTTTCCTGGATCTTTGGCTCCATGGCCTTGCCACTGAAAAGGTATTTTGGAATTCAGAGGGCTTTAAAATAATTTTTTTTTTTTGAGACAGAGTCTTGCTCTGTTGCCCTGGGTAGAGTGTAGTGGCATCATTGTAGCAACTTCTTGCAAGCTTACAACCAAAAAACAAACTGTAGATAGTTGAACTGCTGGTGACATTTTTCCTTTTGCCAGTTGTAATTATTCTTCCAGCTAACATATGTCAGTTTCATAGAACTAATAAATCCTTTTATTGTGCTTTTTGTGGCATACCCATGAAAAAGCACTGCCCCAAACTTCCTATATCAGATCAGTGGGAAAATGACACAAAACTAAGAGAATTTTTTCCCAGTTAATTTTACTGTAGAGAAGTATAAATCCAATTACCCATTGCCATAAATTTTGTCTTTGGCTCAGAGAAACACTATGCATTGGCTCATTTTGTGTGCAAAGGTAATATTTCATCATTTAAAAAAAGCTTGTTTTAGCTCTGTGGTGCCTTTGCATCAGTAAAGCACAAGCTCAGCTTAAGTGACCTGCTCCATCCCCTAATGGCCTATCCTAAAGGAATTTCCAGAACCTTTGTTGGTTCATCACAGAGCAGAGAAATTTGGAAGCAATTGTGGACACTGGCCTCTTTCACACAAGAGCCTCTCCCCTCAAGATAGGCAAATTTTTCCATCGCTAATTATGAATCATGGGGTGAAATGATGTCACTGGTATTGATGGTGACCCTTTCCTACTGGCTTCTTTTTGTGCCAGATAGCAGCATCCATCACCCTTCTCCAATCCTGGATGGCATGAGGCAGCTCCCAAGCATTCTTCATCCTTTGCAGGGAAAAATGTGCATGGGGGCTGAAATATATGTGTAGACCAATGAGTCTATCACCTGTGAACCCAGATGGGCTATTCCGTAGCAGATCTGCCCTTCTAAGATGTTAACCACTAAAAAAAAACAAAAAACAAAAAAGCCTTGTTTATGATGCTCCATGTTTAGCTCTCACACAATGCCAAGACCATGCTTGTGTTGTCTGATATGTAGTCGACAATGGGTAATTCTACTCAGACCCTCCCCTACTGATTGGCTGGGATGCGTGTTAGGATCTTATTTTGCTGCTGTTGTTCAGGGGGTTCCCATAGTGGCCTACTTGCAGGAATGGCATGAATTGTAATCAGTTGAGTGCTGCTCCACTGTTATGGAGGTTTATAAAAACTTAGTTCCAGAAGACCCAAAGGAGACCACTTATGTGTGTCTGGGGCCTGGCTTGGATCCAGCCACTACTCTGAATTTCAGCACATCATCACTGACAGGGAGCCCAGGATGTATGTGTGGCTGATGGAGCAGAGGGCTTTCCTAGTCCCAGCAGCCATGCACCGCGTACACTTATACATACCCTTTCAGAGCTACAGGAAATGCATCCTTGTAACATCATTGTATTCTTTCAATAAACAGCCTTCTGAGTTGAATGGGAGTCAGTTTGTCTTTTTCAATTTTTAGAACTTGGCTAAGATTTAAGGATGGCACATCAAGAAGGAAGGATTGACTGCTAAACTCATCATAGCCAGGTGAGTTATTAATAATAATACCTACCATTTATTGAATGCTTGCTATTTAAAAGACATTATGTTAATGTTTCATTTCATTCAATCCTTACAACTCCTAGTTAGAGGTGTTGTGGTTGCTCTTGTCTTTGCCCAGCTTTCTCACTCTCTTCCTCTTGTAACAATTCCTGTTGTACTGACCACAAAAACACAAGTCAGGATGTCCCCAGGGCTCAGCGATAGTTCTAGAGGAAGGATTGTGACCTAGTTCAGCCAACTGGAGTCCTTTGCCAGAATTTTTTCAAAGTGGAGCTGGAAGGAGAACTTTATTTTGGGGTGTCTATGCTGGAAAGGTAAAGACCTAGAGGTTCTTGGAGTCCAATTTCTTACCAGAGATGGGAGGTCTGTTGTATAGGACAGCATGAGGCTAACATGATGGTATTCTCCTTTCTATTCCCAAGGACTTCCCTGAAGTCCTAGGACCTAGCTTAATTTCTGAAGCTCTCCTTAGGATTCAGTGAACTCCCCACTATCCTTTTTGTGCAAGCTAATTTTTTATGTTGCTTGCATTAAAGAAACCTAATACATGTATTATATCCTTGTTTTATAATGGGGGGGTCTCAAGAGGTACATTAACTCACCTAAGATAGTATTTAATATTTCCCAGATTCAAGCTTAGTACTGGGATTGTCTGACCCCAAAGGGATAGCTCTTAACCTCTAACTCCAGTGTCTCCAGAACCATGTTTTGTTCAAAATGCTGCATGTAACTCAGTGTCATTTGGGGATGAGTGGTTGAAGGAACTCGATGACAGTTTAAGTTGAGACTGAGTGGAAACAAAACGGTGAAGACCCTTGGAATGTTTCTCTCTACTATTTTTTTTTTTTCTTTGAGACAGAGTCTCACTCTGTTGCCCGGGCTAGAGTGCCATGGTGTTAGCCTAGCTCACAGCAACCTCAAAATCCTGGGATCAAGCGATCCTCTTGCCTCAGCCTCCTGAGTAGCTGAGACTACAGGCACATGCCACCATGCCCGGCTAATTTTTTCTGTATATTTTTAGTTGTCCAGCTAATTTCTTTGTATTTTTAGTAGAAACGGGGTTTCGCTCTTGCTCAGACTGGTCTCCAGCTCCTGAGCTCAAACAATCCACCCGCCTCGGCCTCCCAGAGTGCTAGGATTACAGGGGTGAGCCACCGCGCCCGCCTCGACTATTTCAGTAAATTAAATCTGCTGTTTACCCACAACTCTCACACCTTAATATATCAGTTATTTACATTTGCCTATACTGTAGATAAAATCTTATACTTTAAAAAAAAGCTTTATCATAAATGGTTTTCATGTGGCTGGACAAGTCTCCTACTATTGAGATAATTTTTGGATTGTTTTTGGTGTTGGTTTTTATAATAATGACATTGAATACTTTAAGCACCCCACCTTTTTTTTTCCTATTGAATTTTAAAAAGTATACCCAGAATGAGATTAAATAAAGTATCCAAAGTGAGATTACTGTGTCAGCATATATAGGGTGGTATGACCAGCTGGTGTGGGACTCATGCAAGAATAAGCTTGGTACGACAGTGCAGGAGTAATAGTCTCAAAATTACTCGAAAGGGAGCCCACTTCTGCCTCATGATGCCTGGGGAAGGGCCCCAGGGCAGCCATTATATCTGCCCGGGCATCTAGCACACCTTTGTGGAAGACAAGAAGATACTTCTGCACTTACTAATGGTAGTGATGCTCAGATCTTTATAGCTGCAATGGGCTTTTATAAATAGTAACTAAGCTGGTTAATTCCTACTCATCTTTTAAAATGCAGGTGGCACTTCGGAAAAGGTTTTGCTGACTCCCACTTCAACTAAATTGGTCTCCTTTTAAATTTTCGTAGATTACTACAAATGTCTTTCATGTTACCACAATTTGTATTTGTGATTATTTGATATTCTTTTTCCCCCCCACTAGATTGTGAGTTCCAGGAAGGCAGAGTCCATGTCTGTTTGTTCCCCTGCTTATCACAGTGCCAAGCATGTAGTATGTACTTCTGATAGTCTTTTAAGTGAGCAATCAAGTGGAGATTCATTGATAAAGATAACTGGCTCATAAATGGAAAGGTCTTGAAGTCAGAATATTGCAAAATAAAACAATGTGATACTATTTCATACCAATTAGGCTGGCAAAAATTTAGAAATCTGGCAAGGGGGAAATGAGAACGTTCACATACTACTGATGAGAGGGTAAATTGGTATAATCATTTTGGGGAGTAATTTGGCAATATCCGATAAAATTGAAGCTAAGCATACCTCATGCCGCAGGGGAAATTCTCCCAGGTAGGCATAGAGAGACACAAGGATGTTCATTGCAGCAGTGTTGGAAAGAATAGATATAAGGGTGCAACAGAAACATTAGTAAGTGAATGGGTTAATAAATTGTGGCATAGTCTTACAATTTAGTATACAGCATTTAAATGAAGGAGCCAAAGCACCTGCCAAAACAACAAAAAAAAGTCTAGCTCTGCTTGTTCTACTCCTATTCCCATGCAGCTAAATGTGGCTGAAGAAAAAACCATGATGATTTGTCCCACTTAATTTCTGTCTGCTAACCTCCCACACTTGTTTCCCTAGTCCAGTCATTGCCCCACTCTCCTAAGGTGCTTTTTTACCTTCTCTCTTCTCTAACCTCCAGCATTTGGCCACTCCTCACTCAGCTGGTGACCTTATTTCCTAGTTAAGGGAGAACAATAAAAGCAATCAGGGGCCGGGCGCGGTGGCTCACGCCTGTAATCCTAGCACTCTGGGAGGCTGAGGCGGGCGGATTGTTTGAGCTCAGGACTTCGAAACCAGCCTGAGCAAGAGCAAGACCCCATCTCTACTAAAAATAGAAAGAAATTAATTGGACAACTAAAAATATATAGAAAATATTAGCCGGGCGTGGTGGTGCATGCCTGTAGTCCCAGCTATTCGGGAGGATGAGGCAGGAGGATTGCTTGAGCCCAGGAGTTTGAGGTTGCTGTGAGCTAGGCTGACGCCACGGCACTCACTCTAGCCCAGGCAAAAGAATGAGACTCCGTCTCAAAAAAATAAAATAAAATAAAAGGCAATCAGGGCCGGGCCTGGTGGCTCACGCCTGTAATCCTAGCTCTCTGGGAGGCCGAGGAGGGCGGATTGTTTGAGCTAAGGAGTTCGAAACCAGCAAGAGCGAGACCCTGTCTCTACTAAAAATAGAAATAAATTAATTGGACAACTAAAAATATATAGAAAATATTAGCTGGGCATGGTGGTGCATGCCTGTAGTCCCAGCTACTTGGAAGGCTGAGGCAGGAGGATCGCTTGAGCCCATTGAGGTTGCTGCAAGCTAGGCTGACGCCACGGCACTCTAGCCCGGGCAACACAGTGAGACTGTCTCAAAAAAAAAAAAAAGCAATCAGAAGATAACTCCTCACCTCTGTACATCTCATCCTTGCACTCTTCCTTCCTGTTGCTATGGTTGACACTTTATTTTCTTGTCTAACACCAGCTCTTCC